TTGTTATCATCAAAGGAACATAAGAAGAAAAAGGAAATTTTATAAGATTATGGGATATTTTGAGAAATCCGAAAAAATAAAATAAGAAGAAAAATAACGGCTGTTATTAGCAGAGATGGCAAGTCTTTGTAAATCCAACCCTGAGATAAACTGAGAAAACTGTTAACAAAGTAGAAAACGTTGATGCGAACGAATCTAAGCTAAACAACTCTTGGCCGCGAAAATGGCATCATCCGTATAATGTATTCGTTTTCCAAGGATCTTCAACAACCGGTGATGAACTTTTCTTAACACACCAAATGATGGTGACGTGAATATCGATCGGTGTTCGCAACCGAATGCAAAAAATCTCATCCGGCTTAAAACGGACTCCATCCTATACGACTCGCAAATTTCATATGTGAGAGCATTGAACTGAAGACAATTGACCATGTCATAGGGGCAACTGAATTGCGGCTTTGAACGATGAACTGAATTTCTCAAAGCATAGAACAGCATGGAAAATCGCCCACACAACATACGTGCAAATTTGCATCGTTACATCCAATCTAGTTTACAACTGACGGGCCAGACATCTAATTTTTTTTTACTTTTGAAGAGATGCTTTTAATTAATAATAATGCGTTGTGGTGTAGGCGTATGCTTTGATTGACTTATTCCATCAACATCAATTTGCGTCCAAGAAGGGACATTGATATTGGTCAAGAATGGACGGACATACATTGTAGGCAGCGTTTTGACAATACGGATACAACACTATCTTTTGGTGGTGGATATTATAAGTGGAAACATTATAGTCGGTCAATACCGATCATTAAAGATCCTAGACAACATCGTCTAAGGCAATTTTTCATTTACTTTCGTAATAAAATACCACCTAAAGGTGTACTTTCCGCGGGATCCTTTATAAGGGAAACGAGCCAAAAGGTGAAATGATCTGACTTACGTTTATCAAGATTTATTTTCTTGTCAAAGATCTTATCTCTTGGTCAAAAACACTCTTATGTGAAATGGTTTCCAAAATATAAATACCGCAGTACTTAACGCAGCAAATGTGTATGGAAACCCGAAACAGCTTTAACTCCAATCCAGCTTAGACATTAGATATGCAATATATTTACTTTATTTATTGCCTATATATATAGCTTGTAAATCGATTTAAAAGCTGTCGGATAACTTACATGATGTGCTCGACTGCTCGAGTAGCTCGATTGCTGGATTTCTATTCTTTTTCAGAGGAGAGAAGAGTCTATCAAATCAAGAAATTGCAGAAAATCAGTAGAATTCATTAACAAGTTTCTGTAATAGATTTGAGAAGTTGAAAAAGGGTAAAGGCTTGAAAAAGCTTAGATTACAATCCGTTTGTAACTTAAATGTACAAATTTTATATTATAAATAAGAATTTTTCAACTCTACTAATGGAGCAGCAAATTTTGCAATAAATTTTTATAACGACATAAATATATATTGCCACGAATGTGCACGACACTTTTTTTATTATTGATTTCGACCAAAGCTGAGGGGAAGTTAGGAAAGAGTTTACCCCTAACTCAATTTTCGTGTTTTATGATAAGAAAAAAAAAAAGGCTTACTCCACGATAATCCTATGCACCTTACGCGGACAACATACCCCATACCAAAAAACAATTTATAAAAAGAATGTAGCGCACTAAATATGCGCAAAAAAACGTGTGCGTGAACGCTGCCTTTTCTAAAGCTGACTGATGTTAAATAACATGTAACTAATTGTCAAATGTTAATTAGTTATGTCCTGTGTATTATCTATGCTATCTGACTATTGTCTGTAACTCAACTACTCATAGTTTATCCGCATTTTGTTGGGATTGACTTTGCGTTCTTATAAATATCACGGTCCCCGTCTAGATAGGCTTCAAAGTCTCTTTAGATATATTTCTCATTTTTTCTATATGTAGATCTGTACGTCGACATTTAGATATTAGGGTTGTTGCATAGCCTTGAAAGTGTCATAGGTAACAGTCGCGACAATCAAGTTGGGTTTCCACACACTCGGTAAGAGCAGAACACTTATCGCCCACTAAGCCATAGCAAATTTTGCCCCCCCCCCCTCCCGCCGTTTTATTTTTCTTACCGTTACCGTAGTATATCTATAGGATAGGATACCCTTTGCTGACATTTATAAAGAAAAAAGTAGAAAAAGTCGAAAGGTTTGTCAATGTATCGTTTGCAAGTTTTCCTCTTTAGATTTATTTTTTTAGATACATTTTTTTTTTGTCTTTTTTTTTTACCAGAAAAACATAAAAAAATTTTCTCTTATCGACCAAGAAATTTTTGCAAATTTTTATTAAATTCTCTTTTTTTAATTTCGCCAGTACTTGTCTTGCGTTTTGTTAACAAGATGTGAAAAATTCCCTCAGATTATAGATTGTTGGGAAGATGCCTGCGAGAAACTCCTCTCATCACTTATAGAATATTTTATCGAACTGAGAAGAACTGAATGGGAAGCGCATCATTCTAAATTTCATTATATTGCCGATTATGTAACTAATAAAGGGCATGTTTTTTTAATTAAATGATGCTTTTTCTTTAACATAGCTCTCAAAGTGCCTGCAGCGAGTTTCTAAAAAAAAAAATTATTATTTTTTTTTTTTTGAGTAAAACAATATATTAAAAAATAATATTTATTTCTAATTAACTGAATGTAATATTAACGATTGCATTTTAAAATTAAGAAAATAATATTTTCGAATGCATCAAAACAAAAAAAAAAAACCAAAAAAACAAAAAAACTTAATAAAATTAAGAAATTGATGTTTTTAGGCAATGAAATGAAGTTGAGAAATGCTGCTTCTTTCTTGTTTGCCTTTTACACAGTGCTTTAAATATAAACACATCGACAACTAAACACTTCTATAATTGCTAGAACATACGCAGCGTATAAATGACTCTTTTTTTTTAAAGCAACAAAAGCAATAGTATATTAAATGATCAAAGCAAGAGCTAAACGCATGTGTGCGAGACCCCTATACTCATCCGTTGCATGTGAAAGAATTTCAGTTTAAACTCTTCTTCTAAAAAGGTTTTTTGCTTGCAATCGCAAAACCACAAATTCAGACGCAATTTTGCTTACATCTATGCATACATTTTCACATTCTTACTAGTGTTTATTTAAATAGAAAAACTGATACACACATACATTCGCAAATAACTAACTAAGGAAAGTTTTTTTTTTTATTCTTACTGTATATATTGCAATATGTGTAGAAGACATTTAGGCGTTTTAATTTACATCCACGCAAATGCGTAATAACATACATACGTGCATATATCGAAGAAGGCATGCTTACATACATACATACATATATTTAAGGAGGAGACGCTTGACTCATGAAAAAATGCAGACAAGAAAACTCATACTTTGTTTGGAATTTAGAAATAAGTTGCGAAACAGTGAGTTGGTGGGTCGGACGTAACAAAGCAGACAAGAAACAGAACAAGTGGTACGAATTTTCTATTTACGCAACAGTTGCAGAACTAACGAATATTTTCTGTGCACTTTATATATAAATACACGCACACATGTAGCGAAAAACTTATATATATTCCTAAGTTCATTTGAGGCAAGAGTTTTGAACCGTACCAGTGTTTTAGATTTTAGAATATAAGACATACTCTCTCCACAACGTGTAGTCATCAATTACGATTATATACGTGAAACATGAGTAAATATAATTTTGTTGCTTATATACAAAATTTGTGAATCGTAGTACTTATAAAGTTTGAAGGCAAAGCATATATACATAAGCCTTAAGAGAACACCTTTCCCCCGGGTTTTTTAAAGGTATATTTAAAACCACAAAAACAAATAAAAACGCTATAGTGATGCACTACCACCATTAAATATCCTACATCATCCTATAGTTACCCAAACTTTGACTTTTCATAATAAGCATTACAGGGGAAAGGGGTCGAAAAAATGCTCCGATCTGAACCATTTTCAGTAAAGTCCGTCCTTTGCCCAAAATATGCCCATATATCGAATTTCATCGAAGTATCTCAATAATTGCAGCCTATGAGTTGAACACAAGAAAGTTTCCTTGACAGGCGGACAGATAAGCTTAGATCGATGCAGAAACTGACTCTGAATCCATCGCTATAATAAACTATGAGTCGACTGGATGTTGCATTCATCCCCACAAGCTTAACATATCTTTATAGCACAAGTGATGTAGGACTTACGAAAAAAAAAACAAATAAAAATTTCACGAAAATAAAATTTAATGTTGAATCGCTTTGAAGATGATATGTAAGCATAAATTCGGGTATTTGGAGTGTAAATCGCTTTCCGTCCCCTTTCTATCCTTAATCAATTAAGCAAAAACGAATTTCAAAAGGCAAGTTTTCCAAGATATATATAATGTGTTGCGTTTCGTTTTATAAGCAAGAACCCTTAGTTAGGGTTAGATAGGGTTTTCTCAAAACATTAAGAATTCTACTGGTTGTATGATTGTATGTATATTCGATGTAAAGCATAAACTTTCTTCTTCGTTACTTTAATTCCTTTTTTTTTGATTTTGCAATGATATCAATCACATTTGTGTGTATGTTTTTTGAAATTTGATAAAAGTTTTGCGGTTCTTTGAGACGCGTTTGGTAATTTTTTTGTTTATTTGTTTTTTTGTTTATTTGTTTTTCCGTTCGTTTTTTCTTTGCATTTTGTTTATTGTTTTGTCTTACATGCAGCGGTTACAAATTCAAAGACATTTGCAAAGTAAGTGGTCAATCGGTTGCTAATACTTTTGTGAACGAACATCTTTGTAAGTTAAGTAAAGTAAAAAGTCTGGATAATAAATTTGAGGCTAGCTATCTTTTTGTCTATTTTTCACTCCGTTGAGATTCAATGGAAATTTATTTTCAAATGAAAAGTTACTACTTCAATATAAGAAGTACTATTAAAATAAACGATTCGATACTTGGATATGTTTTAAGGCATTTTTTTGGTTTTTTTTTTTTATTTGCAGGAAACAATCTCAACAGCTGCAACCACCACAGATAGTAATTCCACTGCCGACACAAACACCGAAACCGATCCGTATGCCGGTCTTATGAAAGATGCAGATAAGCTGAAATTAATGCTATTAGCTTGGAATTATCAAAATTCTAATGCTGTACGCAATGGCACGGAGGGTCCTGATTTGGGTGTAGTTGGCGGCTTGTGGGCCCAGTATCAAAACGCGTTAGCTCAAAATGCTGCAGCTGCTAGCAGTAAGATCGATACATCACTTTCGCCGGTGCCGCGTACTGATAACCCATCGCCGATGGAAGCCCAAGACGAAACAAACTCGTCAGGACAGAAAGAAGAAGATGAAGGTTCTGAAGATGATTCCGATGATAAATTAGATGAAAAATTATCACAAACTCATGATCCTGAACGATTGAAAGCTTTTAATGTTAGTCACACACGTGGAAATGATAGAGGAACCGACTTAATTTTTTAATAATCTTTTTTCATTGCAGATGTTTGTTCGTTTATTTGTGGATGAAAATTTGGATCGTATTGTACCGATCTCCAAGCAGCCAAAAGAGAAAATTCAAGCTATTATTGATTCGTGCGCTCGTCAATTTCCCGAATTTAGCGATCGTTCGCGTAAACGTATACGAACATATTTGAAATCTTGCCGCCGTAACAAAAAGACTCGAGATGGTTGGGAGAATACGGTAAGTAAAGGAGTAAAGTAAGAATTGTCTAAAGGGGGAAAAAATAAACCATTATAGCTATGTTTATTGGGTGTACAAATAAATTCTCTGTCTTTTTTGATAAGATACAATTTTAATGAAAAAACTACAAAGCTTAAAAATCGAAACATTCACCCTCACTATCTGCCGTCTTACTTCTTAGCGAGTAGCATGCAAAACCCCTCTCAGTAAAAACTTTGTGGTTTTGAGTCGAAATAGTCGTCGACCCATTTCCGCCTATTTTCGACTTTTGTGAGCTGGTGATCTGATAAACATAACTTCGTCGATCCGAACAAGTGGTAACCAGAAAGATACACATCTCGGCAATAATCCCGCAATTTCAAGACATGGCTAACCCAAGCATTGATTGCTTTCGCTGAAGAGGAATAAACGTATACACGCATTCATTGTCTTCAAGACTTAAATTTTTCGCTCGAAATTTCGCAAACCACTTTCTAACCGTTTCATTGCTTACCACATTTTCATTACAAACCAACTTAATCACTCTCGTACTCGTTTGAACTCCATTGTTTTTAATTCGTAACAGAATAAAATGCAGTGTCATAAATGACTTCGACTGTGTACGCATCTAAAATTTCGGAATGAATGAACGCGACCGGTAGATTTATATGGAAACTATTTTAAACACAGAGAACTTATTCGTACGTCTATTATATTGAAAACGTCGAACATGAATGGCAAATGCGCAGAAAAAGAAAATATTCGAGTCAACTCAGGAAAACACATAATTAAAATTATCTTTTCTTTACAGACCCGCCCAACACCCGCCCATCTCACCTCTGTACAAGCCGAGCAAATACTTGCGATTGCTTGTGAGAACGAGTCATTAAATGCTAAACGTATGCGCATCGGCTTAGAGCCAATAACACATGCCATACCTGCTCCCGGTTCAGCTGTGGCAGCTGCCGCCGCCGCTGCAGCAGCAGCCGCAGCAGCGGTTGCGGCCAATACGAGTTCCGCTGGTTCTATTGGAGGAGCTAGCACGTCATCGACGGTGACTTCATCGTCAGTTGTGGATGGTGCTGGCTCCAGCGGTAGCACAGCTACTTTACCTTTTCCTGGTGGTACTGGTTTCACCCGCTCCACCCCAAATTCAGAGTCTGCCGAACCGCTGACATTGACACCAGCGGCAGCGGTGGCTGCCGCAGCAGCTGCTGCGGTAGTTGCATCGTCCAGCGCTGGCAGTGGTGGCCTAAATTCGGCCCGTAGTTCTCCATTGGCTTTAAGTTCAAACGCTAGTGCGTCGGGCTTAGATATAAAACCTTTGAGCGGAAATTTAGCTAACGGGAACACAGGGGCCAATGGCAATGCTAGCGGCTTAACTGGAATGCCGGCTTCAAGTCCTTTATATAGACCTACAGATTTTACCTCACCATCAGCGGCATCACCATTTGTAGCAGCCGCAGCAGCTGCTGTAGCTGGTCGTACGCAAAACTATCCCAGTTATTTTCCAGGTGTGGGAGCATTAGGAGGCGGTAAGCAATGCAACAACATGTTAATAACGTTATATATATATGTAATTAGTGAAAATACTTTCTATTTTCGTTTCTTTTTAGTAACGGCTACAGACCTGTCTATGAAACCTTGCTCCTCATCTGCCAATACCTCTGCCTCCATTACCACCGTCACCAATCAAACTAACACGAATAATTTAGCTAATTTGGCAACACTCAATCAATTAAATGTCAATACTAATCTCAATAACGGCAGCGTTACCAATTCGAATGTCTTGGCTACGGCCACACAGCAATTACAACAACTGCAGCAACAAGCTCAACAACAACAGGTACAGCAACAACAACAGCAACAACAACAGCAACAACAACAGCAACAGCAGCAACAACAACAACAACAACAACAACAGGGTCTCGGTTCCTTAAGTAATAATAATTTAGATAACACAACGCCAAGACCGCCTTCACTTTTGCCCCACAAACTTAGTCCTAATGAAATAAATGCCGCTCGTCAGGTAATATCCGCTTATCGGGAAAGCGCAGCCTTTTTATTGCGCACTGCCGATCAGGTGGAACAATTACTGGTACAACAACAGTAAGTGTGGGTTTTGGCTCGCTGGATGGAGGAGGTATGGCATTTAAGGCACAATGAAAAAAACTAAGAACGTAACATACTTGTGTAAGCGTTTTATCATTTCGATTAACTAACTATTTGCTTTTTATTTGTTTGTTTTTTTTTTTTATTTTCGTATATTTCTTTGTTCCTTTTTTTTATGAATGTTATTGAGAGTTTCTTTTTCTCAGTGAACATAAAACTATATACTAAAAAAAAAAAAATAAAATAATACTCCGTTAATAGATTTAACAGAGTGTGGTTCCTATTACATTAAATCTATACAGGCATAAATTTAAAAAAAAAAAAAACAAATTAATTGAACAACAGAACAGCAGAAGAACAATTAACAATAAACCACAAAAACATATGCTTATACATACACTACCTACTTGCAGTAAACCAACAGGACCCACGGAAAATATTAAAAAGTAATAAATTAGCTAATACTCTACATGTCTTTCCACACATAAAAAAAAAAAAAAAAAACAAAAACAAAATAGTCAATATACAAAATGAAAGCTTTTTAGCGTTTTTGCCGTCAATCCTTACTTCTGTTGAAAAAAAAAAAAAAAAGAAGAAAAACAAATAAATAAATAAATGAAATAAACCGAAAAACCCAGCAGCAAAAATAAATAAATAATGTCTTCAAACAATTACAGAGCATTACTTATATTCATAGCAAAAGTTCAATTTGTATATATTTATCAAACGATTCTCATTACCACCACCACCACCGCCACCACTATATATATATAGACGGGTCCATCTTAATAATTTCCAATTTTGTATATTTCTTTTTAAGCAACTTGCTTGGAGAACAAGTGAAAACAGTTTATTGCCATTAAACAAACACACTGCACCACATCGCTTCATACAGGTATTTATATAAGGCGTTGCGTGGAAATTGATCCCTTTCGAATGATCTCCATTAGCATTCGTCTTTGAGTCAAAGCATATTAATGTACGAAATTTTCTCGAACTATCTGAAAAATGCAACCTTTTACGTTGAACACAAGAATACAGACTTCCACAGGTAGACTTCAGCTTATCGATACAAAAAAAGTGTGAATCTATTTCAAGTACTTCTGGGTATTGGATACGCGTCCTTATTAACTTAATGTGCCCTTGTACCACAGGTGGTGTGGAGTATAAAAACCAAAGCGCGAGCCTCATCTCAGCATGCATCCGAAATAAGGCCAACGAGTTTCCAAATTCAGGACTTGTCCCTTATACGACCTGAACTGTCAACCTGATAAACGACTCTAGTCTTTCCTTATAAGGCAAGATTTCGCGACAACCTCTTCGAAACTTGTGAGACGTACGCATAACATAATTTTTAAAATGAAAGATGAAATACAAAACTACGCAAATAGATTTGACTTTACGGCAACAGAATTGCATCAAATGCAATTTAACAGTGACGAGAAATACTAAGGTAGATAGTTTCGCTGCGATCAAATCATTCATTTCATTAAACTAATGTTCGGTACTTTCCGCTTCAACAGTTTAGCGATACACATAAGCCAGTCTTTATCTATAGGCCATATACAACTTCGACAATGACTCCATTAGTACGACTGCAATACTGATCTGTAGCCAAAAGTTTTACATCCTTTGTATGTATTGAAATGATGTTATGATCGCTTTTAAATCAAGAATGAATTCTGCATTTTTATGCACTTGCCCCAATAAGAAATTAACTGGAAACCATTGTCCATCACCGCACAATTATTCGTATGAGCGGCCGAATAAGCAAGAATTGCGATTACCAATGTAGTGTTCGCGGGCACACATTTCATTGTGGTAGAGAGTTCACTTTGGTGGTAGCTAAAGTGAGTGATCAGTCCAAAAAGGCGTAACACTCATCGATTGGGTACACATCCACTAAACTGCGGCCACCATCTCCCTACTTCTTCCTTTCATCTTCTTTCCTCACTTACTTCTGACTCTTATCGCGTTATGCGAATAGGGGTATCCCCTGAGTTGTTGGTCATATAGAAAAAAAAAAAAATTCAGTTTATGATCATAATGGAATAGTAATAACAATGAGATAAATGTATCCTCCAAGCCGTCTTTTCTTCGCTTAAAGACCTATAAACGTGAATTTTTAATTAATTTATATTTGCAGCTCTAAAAAAAGTATAGGTTCCACCCTTGGCCGAAATACGTTAGTGTACCAAAATTCTTCAAATTATCTGAAAAACTGTAACCTGTATATTGAACATAAGAAAGCAAGAGGGACAGACAAGCTTAGAAGGACTCAGAAAATGAGTTATGATAAAACCTCTTTCTGTTTGTTGCATGCATAAACACAAACTTTATATCCCAAGTGGTGTAGGGCATAAAAGAGTTCACTTCACATTTGGAGGCAATTAATGTTGAAATCTCATATCAACGTCGCTTCGTGATGTAAAGTGAAACTGTGACGTAGTAAACATTGCATATTAACTCCGTATTAACAGATATGTCAGTAAAGATAGCTACTGATAGTACCTAGAAATAGATATTCAATTTTTAGATCGTTTTCCGGCCATCTGGCGAAAGTAAAGAAGGAAATGTGAGATTGAATTTGCGGCTCTTGACGGAGCCTTGAGATTGACGTAAAGGTATTTGGATGTAACTAAAACAAATGCACCGTTATATGCTTTTTGGGACATTCCGAGCTTATTTCCTTGTCTGACAAACCCTAAAGTTAGTGCACTTCATGAGAATTTCACTCTATAATTTAAAAAATTTCACCGAAATTTCGAAAAAAATTTTAAATATTTTTTGTAATACAAATAAACCGAAAAAACTCTGAACACAAATTTTGGTATTTATCATCGTTAAAACCGAACTAATTTGATGGTGAGTTTTGGAAAACTGAAAACAAAGAAAAAAAAAAACCCATAGTAACTTTATTCTCAATACTCAAAAAATATATAACAAACAAAACAATAGTCTTTATATAATCCAACGAATAAAAACGACAAATTTATTCTACAAAATTATACACAAATATTCATACGTTTCATTGAGTTTTTTATTTTTTTACTTTTTACAAAGTTAAAATAACATTTTTCGTCATATTTATTTTTCTTAAGAAAAAAAATTTTAAAAACTTATTTAAGTATTAAAAGAAGTTGTTGTAAATTTAAAGAATGGAACCTACAAAAAAAAAAAAAAAAAAAGCAGAAACCAGTAAAGTATTTCAAACTACAATAAAGCGTGATACAAAAAGTTTTGAAAAATTAAGAAAAAAAAAAGGATAAAACAAATAAAAAGAGTTAAAAACATTATATTCGTCTTAAGGCGAATCTTGAATACCCACTACATCGAGAAGTTATGCGATAAGGGGTTCTACGTAGGTACCTGGCGCATAGGCAGGCCTAATCCTACGCGCCCGTGGTCACACATCGAGGAGGTATATAAAATATAGACATACGCACACAAAATTCTCTGCCAATAATTAACTATCTTCTTTTTAATTTCTCTTAATAACGATAAAATAAAAATGAAAACAAAAATCAATTGAAAAAAAAAACACGTAATCGGTATTTTTACATCGCGTTGTATCCAAACGGTCTTATATTTATCGCAAACTTTTTACCGTTCTTTGCAAATATCGCATTAGGCATGGGCGCCTGTACATGTTCACCTCATTTTCATTACAATATTTATTTATTGCATGACATAAAAATACATCCCGGAGATATCGCACGCACGTAGGAAATAGCCAGACTGTTTGATAACTTGAAGAAATCTTGATAAATTCATCGTTAAAGTCATTGCAGTTTGCCTGTTTATCTGCATGGACCAAGCCCTTCGATGTTTTGAGTCATTATTTCCGATACTTTGCAAACACTTACTCATAAAGGATTTTCAACGCTTTATTTTAATTTATCAGAAGTCAACAATGTCATTCATATATAGAGTTCAATTGAATTGGCAGTGCTTGTCCTGCATAACTAACATGTACATCATAATAAAGATATAATAGAGACTCTAAATTGATTGTAAGCTAACTTTATTCATTTCAAGTGAATGCGTAGACTTCCGGTGAAATTGTCGGATGTGTGTTTGCCAATGAAGGAATTGCAGTCGTTTTCCATTCGACCATTTTCATGTTTTTCTGAGTTTGAACAAAAGAAGACAAAGTCCGATCTGTTGATCTGCATAATTTTAATTTTCTACTTTAGTTTTTTGAAAAGGTAGGGACAAGAATATCAACGCTAATAAACAATGGATGACATAATATATGTATAGTGTAGCATGTAATATATAATATATATTGTATCATACAAAATATAAAATATATAGCATGTAATATATAATATACGATTCCAAATGTATAATATATAACATGTAATATATGATATAATATATATACAGTATGTAATATATAATACGTGATCGATAATCCACCTTTATAAATGTAACGACAATTGTCCCTATCGTCCGAGGTAGATATAATCATATTGCAGTATAGTCTTACTTTCCTGTTGTATGGGTATAAGCGAATTTATTGATCAAGTAAACTTGTTGTCAAACTTTTTTGCATTTTTTTTTTTTTTATATATATAATTTATTTATTATTATTATTACAGTTTGTTTTTTTATTTTTTGGATTTTTCTTTTAAAAACAATCTTTTTTTAAAACTATAAAATGAAAAATGGATAGAATTTACTTAATTTATAATATATTTGCAAAAATAATTATATAAATAATTACATTAGCAATCAAAATAATATTAAAAATATGCTACTCTCTCTTACCCGTACAGACACAAAGAATTTTAATAAATTCTTAAAGTTAATTATAAAAGAAAGAGTATTAAATAGTTTCAAAAATAGTTAAAAAAAAGAAAAGTGAAATAAAACAGAAATTTTAAAGTGAAATGTCTTTTTAAAATTACATTAGAAAGAAACAAATATTTAAATAGGTATTAAAAATGAATTAATAAGCGAAATAAAAATACTTTTGTCAAATATTAATTGAAATTTATTGTTTTAATAAAATTAAATAAAAAAAGCAAAAACAAAATAAAGGTAAACATAAGAAGAAAATCGATGTGAATTTAAAAAAATAAATAAAAATAAAAAATAAAAACAAATCCATTTAATAAATAATTTATGAACAATTTAATGTAAAAACCATTGCAATGCGTTTGTATTCACTTTTATGTTTCTTGCACGTTCTAGGCTTCTTTCAATGTTCTAATCCACACTTTGTTAAATGCCTAATGAACACTTAAGACAATAACTCTATTCGGATCGTGCATCATGAAAAGTATTTTTTTCATCCTATACTACTTGCGATGGATTCAGAAAGACTTTCTGAAAAATTAAGAAGAATCGCTTGTCAAATCGATATTAGCTCGTCTATCCGTGTGCTCAAGTTGGTTTCCTATATTCAATCCAAAGGTCCGTCAATTATCTGACATTCCACTATACCCTGTCTTAATTCTCTTTTAGCGTCGAGTACGTTAAAGAAGTCATCCTCCATTATTTAACAAATTTTAAATCTCTAGGAAAAAGTTGGGAAAAGGAAAATAATTAATAAATAATTATAAATAGCGAGTTATTAAGCGCTGCTTACTCGAAAACCGAACTGTCATGTTGATCACACCATATTAAAATTTCGGGCTACACTTCTTAACGATTCTACCAGCAAACCCCTATTGGCAAATTTTATTTTCAAGAAACAAAAAAAGCCTTGACGTGAGCTTATAAAAAGATATGCATAACGAAGGTAGGGAATAAGCCAAGTAAGCAAAGGCGCTCGGCGAATTATTGTCACAAACGATACCGTCCTATGGCAGACAGTTGTTATCTAAATCAATCAAATCAAGACTAGGCGACTTCGATCTTCACATGACGACTGTGGAAGTTAGATATAGCCTCATCACTTTGCTTTGCTTTACAAGCTGGATTTTCTTAGAATTTACTTACATTGATATGAAGTTGGTTATAGATTCGTTGATATCACATAAATCTATGTTTCTCAAGTGATGGTGAGAAAAACAGAAGCAACCTATTTTCATAGGGAGGAAGAGAGGCAATCATCCACATGAACAGCGCAATATTCGCGATTATAAAATTTCTTAATTTCTTTTATTTTACAAGTTAGCCTAAAATTAGACTGCCATAATTTTTAAACAAAGTCCTCGCTAATGTCTCTGTTGAAACGCAAAGCATAGGGTCGCTTATAATAAATAAATGGTTAAAAGCCCAACTTGACAACTTAAATGTTAACGCTAATCAGCTATGTTAAACGCGCAACTTAACAGACCAGAAGGGTTCAACTCTGTAAAATAACATTATCTAACGGACCAAATTAGCAAAAGCCGTCGGCAAAACACAAATTTTAAAATCGGAAAATCGTTCTTGCCAGTTTGTTTGTTTTACTCGCAAGCGTTGCTAGGTTCGGTACACTCTTATGGTGACTGGTTTTTGAAAATAGTTCGGATCGGATTACTTCCCGTATATGGCCTTATTGATATATTGATATTGATATACTGATATATCAATCACTCAACAATTTTGATCAATTTGTTCAGCTGTTCATGTAAATAAGAAATAAAAATTCTGCGGCATGGTTTTAGGATTAATTCGCTTGAAAAGCAAACATGGTTAATGTCAAGGCTAAACAAATTTAAAATTCACAATTTCTAGCAGCTAGTAGTTCACCTTCATTGGGCAGATAATGAAATATATAAATTTGATTGTGAAGTCGCCATCTATAGCTCAAATATCTTTTCTTATCGGGGTTTCAGCCTTTGCTTTGTAACGTTAACCAGCAACAAACAACAAGAACTTATTTCGAACTTAATACTGGAAAAGAATACTTATTTCGAACAAGCAACTGAGTAATGGTTTAGGGCTTGTTTTGTATTTCGTCTTGTTGTGCCATCTATTGCCATTAAGAAAATTCTTCTGCTGCTTTCGTTATCGTTCGCTACGAGCTCTAACAACTTGTTTTTTGTTTAATCGGAGATATGTAAACAGCATGCGTATGTTTGCAAAGGTTACATAAACACAATCATACGCACATACACGTTTAATTAGTTGTGCTTGTGTAAATTCTTCACATTTCTTCAGCTAATTTCATTAATATGTACATATGCAATGAACTTGAACTTGAGGTACTAAAATAAATTAAATTTCACATATTCCAGTGTACTAAATATAATTTTTTGTAATCAAATTTATCAGTTGAATGTCAACCTTTTCTAACACTAGCCTTACCACGTGGACCAATTTAAAGTTTTTTTCAACTTCGAAGCTTTAAAAAGATGGTTATAAGGCATATGTTTTCGTGAAGTTTTAGTTATGTGAAGATATTTTCAAAGTCCTCAAAGGATATATGTGTACATATATATATAGGTATTTCCATCACAATGGTCGAATGTGACCCATCATCTTTGCGAAATTGCTCCAATCGCATAAATAGGAAATGGATAGGAAATTATTCAATTTTTCTTCAATTTACTTTTAATTTATTCTAACACATGTTAGGATGTTCTTCATCCAATGACGAATAATTTGGAAACAAACTGGAATTAAGATATTCCCCTCAATTGTAGACGGGTTAGTACACCGATCGTGATCATATTTAGATCGAACATATAGGTGATTGTGAACGAACAAACATACAGACAGCAGCTTTTTGTAAGTGTGTTTATGCGATCAAAGTTTATTAACGAAATATGAAAAATCGTTTGTCGCTCAGTTTCTGCTGTATTATGGGCATGCATATAAACAGTTCGCATTTATTTTATTTTTCATTTTGGATTTCCAATCGTTCAGGTAACGTCTATGTCAAGCTTCTGCGCCCTATCTTCATTTCCAAATTTTATTATACATAGGTATTTGTAAAAAGTGAAAACAATGCAGTGGGAGATAGCCATCCATTAAATATTCTACACTGCTTCGTTTAATACATGACGACTTTTCAAAATAAGCATTTACATGGAAATTAGTCGAGGAAGCGTCCGTTTCTGGGCCGAAAAACGTCAGTGCCCAAATTTCATCAAAATATATAGAAAATTGCAACCTGGAAATAAAGATACATGGACAGAAATCAGGCAGGTAGACGGACAGACAAGTTCGAGCAAGGATCTATCTCAAGTCCTTGTGGACATTACAACGGTTCACACAAGTTTAATATACTCTGCACTCCAAGTGATGTAGGGTACAAACACAAATGTATATGTAGTAGCTGTTGTACAGCGGAGTTCTACTATTTTAATTTAGAAATACCTTTAAGTTTCTAATTAAATTTCTGCGACTTGCATAAAATATCAAAAAAACTTAATTTTTAATATATTTATTTTTATATTTGTTTTTTTTTTTTTTTTTTTTTTTTTGTTTATTATAAAAAGTATAACAATATTTTTACAGATATAGTTACATCTTTTCAATACATATTTAATAGCCATGTGTTCCATACAGACATTCTGTACGAATAATTATTAATTTTTAATATGACTTTTTAATTGAAGTATTTCAATATAACCTAAGGTAATGAATTTTTCAAAGAAAAGAAAGTTTACACCAAATAAATATTTAAAATTAAACGAAAGCAGAAAACTCGTTTGTGGGAAGATCAGTCATACTTAAATACTTTCTTATGCGAACCCTTAAAATCCCAGATTAACACTTTCGCCGAGGTTTTACAAATGGAATAATGTCGTTCAGCGAGATAGGGTAAAAATAAATGTGTTTATACGTCGATGATGTAAGCAAAGAAAAGAAAGAAAACTCTCGTCACAACAACTTGCTTTTTCTTGACTTTACAAAAACTTTCGCTATTAAAATGATTTTTCCAGAACTGAAAGCACCTCTGGACTTTGTTTTCATTAAATAAAATATAGAGCTTTCCGAATTGAAAGCTCTTTTAATTACAAGCACCTGTGCTAATAAACTTAAACGGCAAGACTTTTTATTTCGTTATCTAGAGCTTTGTCATTACTTTCGGTTTGTTTTAATCATTTTGCTTTTAAGTATTATCTACGTTGCTTATATACGTTTATAAACTAAAGATTTTTCCGTTTTTTTTTTTTTTCCGAGGTTCACGCCAGCACCCCATCTAAAGCATGTATTACACCATTTGTCGCCGGGATGTTTGAGACAACCATTTGGGCATCATTAACTTTGATTTTGCCCGATGAAGTTTTTTGCAATATTACTGTTTTGCCTGTCAGGAGAGAATCTTTAATTTGGTAGAAACGCATTCCGGCCGAAAATAGGGTGCCGGGAACTATATGCTTCATAGCAAACTCTTCAGCCACTTCTTTATCTTTAAGAAGTTTTTCCAATGTATCCGATTCAATATCATTGAAACTTTTATCGGTTGGTGCAAATACTGTAAAAGTTTTGATACCTGCAAATGAAAAGTAAATACATAATTAAGAAAATTTCAAATTCATAGGAAATTCTATTGTTTCACCTTTACTTTGCAATTTTTCGGAAAGACCAGAGGTAAACAGAATTTTGAGAAACGTAGAAAAACGATTTTCACGATCCGCTTGCAGAGTTTGTAACAAATCTCCCACTGGCAACGGGAACATAACACGATCGATGGCATGAGCAATACCTTGCGGTATTTTAATGTCTTTTTTCGGTAAAACAACCATTGCTCCATTGATTGTCGTAAGCTGCGGACAAAAAGAATTTCTTAAGTTAAGCTTTTTTTTAAAAACTTTCTCTTCAAATCTTGGCACTTACTGTAACATCATTCCACTCTTGATCATGCATACTATATTGGTTTACACGCAGTTGGGTGCCGGCTAAAGACACCCCTGTCATTTCATCTTGCAATGTTGCAATTTCAAAAGCTCCCGGGATAACATGGTGTAGTAAAAGCTTTAAGTAAACTATTTTATCTAAAAAGCTTGATTGACTTATTCCTTTGTACTCACCCCACTTAGCAAACGTGGATTTGTTTTAAATTTCTCCTCCGCTCTTTCCGGACCACCAAGTTGTACCAACAGATTCTTAAAAGCTTTATCAGTAGGTACGAATATAGTGTAGGGTCCTGTCTCATTCAATATACTATCCAAACCTGACTGTCGCAAATATTTCGCCATGGCGTACAGACCGTTCTGTTTTAAAAGCTGTATTAAATCATCTTCAGCCGGTGCTGCGGCCGTTGATGAAGCAACGTGAGCATCCGTATGGGTAACTGTTGTGTAGGATAAGGGTGACGCTGAAGCATCTGATGCTTTTTCTTGGTGTTCGCTTTCTTGCACCAATGTGTCTGAATACTTCAATGATGTGTGATCTATATTCGGTTTCGGGAAGTATTCAGTTGCCGGATGATACGTTACTGGTCCGTATGCGGTGGTGTCGGTAGGATACGTAGGACTCGTCGATGAACGGTATGACTGGGTTTCGTATCGAAAACTTGGGGATGAACGATGAATCACTGGTGTTATAGTATTTGGAGTAGTAACGCGATAACCTAAATTTGTAGTCCGCGAGTAATGTCTATGACCGGTAGATCTGGAACTTTGAGGAATTGCTCTTGGTTGGGGTGTCGTTGTTGTCGTTGTTGTGGTGGTGGGACGCGGCGTTGTTGTTGTCGTTGTAGTGGTGGTGGAAGTCGTGATCGCCGTAGTTATTGTAGGCCTCCTCGTGGTCTTGATAATGGCTCCAGACTCAATATCAACTATTTCATCATTCGGCAATGTCAAGCGCTGGACTGAAGGAGGCAGTTTAATATCCCCATTGCGTATGCGTTCTAATATACTTTCGACTTCAGCTCCCGTCTGCTTAGTTTCCTTTTCACCATTGGCCTTAACGCCTTGTATCTTGAAGCTTCCATCAGTTTGTTCCTCCAGATAAACATAGGTAGCCTTTTTCTTAGGGGGCAGAACTTGCTGAGATTTAGATTTCGTTTTCGGTTTAGAGCTATAACCCTCGATCTCGTAACCATCAGGTATGAGACCACGCTTGGCCAACTCTTCCAAGGAAGGTGGTTCATCGGAATCGGATTGTATAACAGCAGTGCTAGCAATGCTATTGCCTCCGTTTGGTATGCCTTCCACATTCTCACCATACAAAGAACCTAAATTTCCTAAGTCCACACCTTCGGGTAAACTTTGAGCACTTACAGTGTTGTCTGTGGGAAGAGGCGATCGTGATATTTGAACATTAGAACTGTTCGGTAAGACCAAATCGCTACTTGTTTCTGGTTCACTATACGTGAATTTATTTGTACTGCTACCCTCTGGACGGAATGTTGAGCTTTGCTCACTAAATAAATTTTTTAGCTGATCTTGGGTGTAAGGTTGCTGTCCTCTTAGCAGGTTACGATCTGTGGTACGTATAACCTGTACGCGTTCTCCGTTGGGTAAAACAAAATCCATTTCTTCATACGATTTATTTCCCAATTCTTTTTGAGGAGTTTCCGCTAAAGCAGCTTTGAGTTGCTTTAGTAACTCATCGCGTCCGAAAGTTTTGACGGGTTTTCGACTTGACGTTTTCGAACCGTATTGCCTTACATGATGATGACTACCACGGGTGTGATGTCTAGCTGTAGTAGACGGTGGTGGAGGTGGCGGTGGCGGTGTCGTCGTGGTCGTAGTAGTTGTTGTCGTTGTCGTTGTTGTCGTTGGATGGTCTTGGAAGTATTTTTGCAAGGCTGAAGCAAAGGAAGGCAATTCTGAAGGTCCCACTGGTCGACTGCGGTGTGAAACATAATTAGGCGATTCTTGTTGATATACAGGTTGCTGATTATTATTGGCCAATATGTTGGGTAATGCTTGCTGTTTAATACTTTGTTGTTTAGCCAAAAACTCGACGTGCTGTTGCTTAACCTTGTTTTGAGATTTTTCATATTGTTTTTGCACAAACTGTTCGTGCTTTTGAATCAACTTTTGTTTGTATTCCTGATCGGACGAGGGCACTGATTGAGTGGAAGGAATATTAGAATATTGTGGTTGCGAAAGGAATTGCTCCTGCTGCGACTGTTGTGAATGCTGTTGCTGCTGTATGGTTTGTTGAGTTGGAAACGCAGTAGAGGGTACATTGGCAAAGAACTGCGGCACTGGTAAACCTAGATTATGCGTTAAAATGTAGGATTTCTGCGGTTGTGGCTGAGTTTGAGAAGGCGGTTGCGTAAGATCTTGCGGTGTTGTAGGCAAGAATACTTGCTGAGTAGTAGGAGGTTGTGGAGGCTGTGGGAAAAACTGCGGCACTGTTGAGTATGGTGGGCGCGGGGCTATATGAGTCTGGAAAGTAGGAACTGGACCTTGAACAGGCAACTTTTGCTGAGTTTGCGGTAAAACTGGTGAATTTACTGGAGTTTGCGATTGATAGGCTTCACTAGTGAAGACAGGAAACGGAGGTTGACTGTGACTTTGTGCTGGAATCACTTGATTTTGAAATGGCTTATTACTATACGTTCTCTGAGAATTTTGCTGTCGTACTGCTGTTTGCTGATGAGCTCCTCCCGTTGGTTGCGTAGCGTAATTACGTAACGCCAAAAAGTTCTCCTGATGCAAATCTAGGGACGGTGATACTGGCTGCGATTGCGATTGAACAGGTTGGTTAGGCGCTTGAAAACGATGTGGCTGCTGCGGTTGGTAGAGATGTTGCAAATGCTGTTGGATTTGTTGATGCGGTACAACTACTTGATTTTGGCTAGGACGTTGAAATTGATTGCTAATATGATTGCCGTTGGCTGTGCTAATAAAATTACTTTGTCCTGTAGGCCCGGTTATAGGGAAACGATGAGACTGTGGTAATCGTCTAGCCTGCTGTAACTGTTGGGCTTGTGGTAAGGGTACCTCCACGCTAGCTGTTTGTTGCAGATAAAGTTCTTGCTGTTGTGAAGACGGCTGCTGCAGTTCTTGTTGCGTTTGACGTGATTGCGTTTGATGTTGATGGACGTCATTTACAATATCCTGTTGTGAGTTTAATTGACGACGAAAGTGATGATGATATGAAGGCTGCAGAAATGTAAGAAGCAGGAGTGAGTATAAAATGAGGAACGAATTAAAAATCGTCATATAATAGTGTTCCGTTTCGATTGAAGCTTTAATAACTAAATTTTAAATTCAGTATTTCCTATAAATCATACGAATAGATCGCATGAGTTCGAAAGCGTAGCTGCTAAAAATTCTGATCTTTTGCTGAAAATAAATTTGATAACCTTTGTGCTCCGAAAAGACGGAATCGTGACTCTGATCACCTTATACTAACTGACAGCAGAAGCTGTTTTCGAACTAAGCATTTAAGAACACTTAAGTCAAAATATTATTCTTTGCTGAATATGGTTTTAACAAAAATGTCTTGTACATTAACCTGACTTCTTGAAGGTCATCAGTCTTTTTCATACTTTACGCTCAATGTTCCTCCCGTCAGTCTTTTTTGTAATGTCAATTGGGACGCAGTCAAAAGTCGTTTGCCTAATTGCTGCAAGATGAAAAAAAAATGAAAAATTTTTACACAACACTTTTAAGCGGTCAATTAACCTCGTTTTTCTATGTTTAGTAAATTTTATTAAGTCATTTGAATAATTCTTTTAAAGTAGTGAGAAGAAAACGTACGAAATTTTTTTTCCATGTTTTAAGAGTCTTTTGCTTGTTTAGATTGTGGTCCCCAATACCATCACCAAGTACTAAGTTTTGCATGATGCACATGTTCAACGAATAAGCGCAAATAAATTTATTGGTTTCGTATTGAAGTAATGCTGAAATTAATGTTGCTGCAATCGGCAGCTTATATATATATATATATATATATAGAAGAAAAATGTGTTTTTTTGAAAGTGAATCTCCAAAATCTACATTACATGATGCAATGGTATAGCACTTGCGAAAACAAAACCTAAAAATTAAAATGGCCAAAAATAGGCATTTGCTCGGTCTATTGTGACTAGTAAAAGGAGTACTACTCACACATAAGACAAGAGATGCTAAACAATTCGCCAACCAGTTGTTCACGGCATACAGAATTTTTTATTTTGACGATAGATTTCCTGTTTTTTGTTTTTTCGAAGCCAATTTTGATTTTCAAACTTATTCGTATTCATTCTTGATGATGTAGTGAATAAGCATTTGATGGAATAACAAAGAGAAGTGATTTATCGATTCTCAAGTCCGTTGCTATAAGGCTAGAATTCTTTTGTTTTATTTTTTGTTTCACTGTTGTACCCTACACTACTTATGGTAATAGCATCCTATCGGACACCCAGAACAACTTGAGATAGATCAATTTGTACTTATGACTTAAGAATTTCGTTCTCTCTTTAAGTTAAAGTATTTATGTCTTTAACTCACAATTTGCAAATTTCAAGATATTTTGATGGAGTTTGATGCAGTGATAAGTTTTAGACCCAGGATCGATCTTATTGGAAATGAATTGAATCGAACGCCTCTTTAAAAAAACTCGATTGTTATAAAATATCATCGGCTTTCAAAATTTCTCTGTTGCAAACGAGGAAATGTAGTACCCTACTAAGTTAATGTAGAACACTTTAACAGGATAGGACTATTTTTTGAATACTTCGCCATGTAAACATTTTCAAAAAAAGTAAGGCGGCAAAGTTTACTATGTCGTAGTTTGGAAATTGGTCTAAAATAGTCATTCTAAATCGGCAATGCTAAGTTCAGATAGAGGGTTCGTATAGAGGGGCTTCCATGAGAAGTTAGTCTTTATATTGCAATACGATCTGATTTATGTTATTTTCTTCCCCATTTTGGGCCCCTTGCTTAATAACAGTTCTCATAAAAAATAAGCATTCACATGGCAATAACAGATAAATTCTCATTTTTTATGGCAAAGGTGAAGATGAACAAACACATTAACCAAGGTGATGTAGCTGACTTAATAGCTAGCTTTACCCGGCTGTAAAAATGTAGCATGTTTTTTTCATTATATTTGTTAATTTGGACACTAGTCAAGGTTATTATATTTTATGCACGATAGCGTGGTCCGTCCGTTGGTGATGCCATGAGATTATTTTCACGATAATTATTGTTTAAATCTTGTTTTGATTTAGTTCTCAAATTCGTTTTCTCATTTAATGGTTTTGCGAATTTCATAAGAATTGCAAATGCATGCGTTAAACTTAATCATAAATGTGAACCATCGCATATGGCCTGCAAAGTTTTTGTCTTTTTTCCAACATTAATTGAACAAGTTTCATGTACGTTGTCCGGCACAACTCATTTTTCTGCATTTTGTTTTTAGAATTCTTTAACCATTCACTTTTTTTGGCGAATTAAAAAAATTAGTATTTACAGACTGGTTTCTGGTCGATCTGTGCATGTGTTTAATGATTTAATGTCTTTTACATTGCAAACTATTATTACTTTATGCATAAAGTCGCAGCAGCTTGCAAACTAATTCATCGTGTGTGTGTGTATTTATAAAATAATATTTTCCTAGTGTCTATAAATTGCTGGCCCAAAACTACTCGTGTAAATGCATTTTAGTTGAAGCCTTCAAGAAATTCTGAATCATTGTACTTTCAATAGAAATATTTTGCTTTAATTCTTTCTTATAAACATTAATTGCCAGCCTTAGGTATGACAAGACAATAAAACAAGTAAAAAATCTATGTTCGCGTTGATACGAATTTTACATACCCACCTTACTTACTAGACTTTTCGCTAATCTTTACTTGTGTACTTTGGATTACTTTCGAGCTGTGTTTCACTCAACGCTTTGGTGGAGTGCTTCACAAAGTATTCCAAGTCCTTTTAATGACATTTTGCAAACCCGATTTTCTTTTTTCCAATTATTTAAGTGTGTGTGTCGTGACTTTAGCCATATTTGTGTTTGATTTGTGTTTAATTTCTACCTCCATTTACCCAGCATAGAACGTTAAGGTAGTGGACAACTAAAGGTAGGCTAATAAAAGACAGTATTTATCCATATTTTTGAAATGAAATTGAAAAATGTTCTAGATGAGCATAAAATGGTTCTATTTATCTATCGTTTTCTGTTTCGCTTGTTCAAGTCTTTGTATTAAGTTTTCCTTTTATTCATTTGTTGTTTCAGTATAAGAAATGCTTATAAATGCTACCAAGGTATCCGACTGTATTATGATGATTGTAATAATAATGAATGCTTCTAGGTTTCCGTTATTGTATTTCTTTATAGTTTTTGCTTTCTGATACCAATGATTTATTACATAGTATGAAAGTTATTTAAACAGAGGAAAGCTATCTTCAAAAACATTAAATGATTGTCTTTAAGTATCCCATAAGTTTTTAAGCGAGAAAAAAATTTTGAAAAAAGTTGCAGATCACTTTGATTAAATCGATAATGATTCGCAGGCTATAGAATTTGTTGAGTTTATGATGAAGGCACTTTGTCAACACGAATGACACGTTTAAGCTCTGGAAATATTGACTTTAAAGACGCATCGCGTAAAGCAGAAATTTATGACATCGCTGCGGAAGTAAACACTCATCAAGAAATGTTGCAGTTGCGAATCATTTACGCAAAAGTGGAAACAAGAAGAAACTCAGCATAACCTGGAGTGTTCTACACTTGCGATTAACACGGGTTTTAATAGATGTCTTATAGTTTGCTCAAGCGTTGTTTCCATTCTTATGGCTATACCCAGACATGGTTTCTTTTGGGGATAGATTCAAACGAGAAGATCGAATTCAGAAATTAACTCAGAAGTGCGAAAAAGTAGTAGCCAGCTATAGATAACACTTTTGTTAATTGTTGCGAAATAAATGCATTTTTGACCCCCAAAAAACGAACCGAACTGCTTTACACTGAAAAGTCTTCCACTCTTCTAAGCGTACCAGACATGTTTGTAAAGTGACTACAGTGACAACAAATTCCAAATTTTTTGAATTGTGCACACACAATAGGCTCGTGTTTGACTGATTTCTATGTCCTACACCGCTTGTGGTGTAAGGGAGAAGAGGATGGGGACAAGGGAAATAGACCCACCTCTTATTCAAAATCACTCTGTTAATCGATTTAAGCTTGCCGTCTGTACATTTTTTTTTTTTTTTTTTTTTGTGCAATCTATAGATCGCTTGTTTGGTGATATTATGATTAGATTTGTTACACTGGTCTATTCCGGCTCAGGGACGGACGATATTGAAAATGGTTCATAACGGACCACTTTCCACTATCTTCCATATAACGCCTTATTTTGAAAAGTCTTTAAGTAAAGTGATGTAAGTTATTTAATGGTCGACCGTAGTCCTACACTGTGTTGTTACATTTTTCTTATATTATAAAACACACACATTCTTTATGGGCTCATAGATCTCTATTTTTGGTTGTTACAAGCAAAACGGCAAACCCAATTTAATTATTGGTCAAAAGTAGAATGCATAATAATATATATTCAGCACACATAAAAAGTAACTATTCACTGACGACTGCTATTCTTGCAGAAAACAAAAAGTTACGTTTCCCAATTTACTTCGCTACTATATAACGCACGTTGTTGTTAAAGACTTTTGATAATTTTGCAAAAACTCTATGGAATTTTAAGCGCTTTGGAGAAGGGCCACAACATTTTCATTTTTACCATTAAAACCGAGAAAATATATTGTAAGCGAAATGCAGCCGTGCAGCCTTCTAGACCTTTGATTACTAGGTAATACATCGTCTGTCTTATGATCTTAAACGTAATAATGATTATATTAAATTATAATGAGAATAATTAAATTGAGAAATTAATAGCAAGTTAGTGGTTAGCATTACCACATTTATTTTATTCCAATGCAGTAAAACTTGAAAAAAAAAAGACCGATTGACTGCAGCCACTCGCCTGCAAATAAATTAAACCATAATTTTAATTGTCATTTGAGTTGATATTGTTTCTTATAAAAATTCGTACATAACAAGCACAGGCCAAATGATGCAATTTAATCGGTTTTAACTAACAATACGAACACGCCTCAGCAGCAGCAGATACATTGCTTCAACAGTTTTAGTTGCCATAGCAGGTTTTTCTTTCAATTTT